CTTATTTTTTCTTTTCCTTCCTGATGGTTACTTCCCAGCTAGATTGTTAGTTAGCTTATTATTGTGAGGGCCCTCAGTATCATTCAGCTGCTTCTCTAGGTGGTGGGCTGTCTTTTTTTATAGACTCCACAGTCTTGGACACCAGTTGGTGACAACCTTTTACTGCTCTAGACATCTAAGCAGAACCTGCAGCAGGTGGAGAACTAGTTCTTGTGCATGTTGAAAAAAACAACAATGAATTAATTGTTCATTCATTGTTAATGAGTTCTTCAACAAATTCTGAAAGTCTTCCGCTGGCTCCTCGCTTCCTGCTGCGCCCAAACCAGCTGACTGACACTCACTTTCATTTCCTCATTCATAAAGTTGCTGTGAAAGGTGCAATTGAAAAGTTTCATTTGCAGAGATTTTTGGTAGAGTTTTTGGTAGAAACTAAAGTCATGTTTATTTGCTATTTTTTGTATGTAACACGACTGCGTTCACAGTTATTTAGTCGTCACTATTATAAAGATAAAGACCAAGATTACATCTCAGATGTAAAATCTGTAGTCTCAATTTTTCTAACTGTGTGGACAGAAATGCAGCTATAAGAGTGTCATGCAATTTTTCTGAAACATTAAATGTATTTTAAAGTGACTTTTTAAATGCAGTTGCAGACACTCTAATTGTGTTCTGACTACATTTCATGTTGAAATTTGTTCACAGACACATTACATGATGTGAAACAACATTTTGAAGTACACTGTGTGAAATCCAAACTTAAACTCACCTTAATCTGAAAATCACCTTAATCAGGTCTCCCAGAACTGGATCCATGTCATAAATTCCATAACGGATCAAAGCAGCTCAGTAGACCATGTTTGGGTTTCAGTTAACTAGCATGGCCGGATTTAAAACTGATAAATTCTTAGTGGTTTATTTTGTCCTTACATGATCTGTATTTCTTATTTAAAATGTGTCATCCTACCAAAATTACATGTAAAGTGTATGTAACTAAAGTGTTAAATGTAAAACGCCAGCTCTGGTCAGCCTTTCCTGAATCAGAAACTCGGACATCAGCTCAGGGTTTATGGTTTGACTCGGAGTTTGTTGCACCTGCTTCCTGGAATATGGCCCTGGCATCATTTCATCTACATTTTGCCCACTCGTGTTGTTTTCCTTTTTCCACAGGACCCATCCAGTTCCCATACAACCCGCTGACTATGCGCATACTGAGCAACACACCACCCACTTCCATAGCGTCACCCTCCATACAGAGCCAGCAGCAGCAGCAGCTGCAGCAGAATCCAGCTGGAGCCCCTGGCCAGCGGCGAGAGTGGCAGTCTTTGCTGTCGGAGCAATACGAGACCCTGTCTGATAGTGACGACTGAGCCCCGCTTGCTTACAGCTTTATTAACCAGAAGAGAGGCCTGCTCTTTGGCTTGTCTGTTCACGCCCCTCTCCTGGAACTAACCTCGCTCACTGGGGAGTGCAACATGTAGATGGGGTGTTGTCCTTTTTATTTTTGGTGCTATGGCGCCCCCTGGCTGTTGGCTGAGAGTACGAGCAGCAGCCTGTGACAGGAAGGGTTCTCCTGGACGTCGCTTGCTTTTGGTCCAGAAGCACTCGTCCAGCCTGTTGTGGTGGGGGAAAAAACAAACAAAACTCAGCTTGAGGTGATGACATGAGATGCAGGAAAGATAAAGAACTTAATATGTAAAAAAAAAGACAACAGAAGAAACTATTTCTGAATTTTGTTTGATTTCTGTAAAGATATACCTTGTCTTTAAGAAGATCATTGTATGTAAATAGAGTAACCTTTTGCAGTGTTTTTCTTAACTTGATTATTTCTTATTTTAATGTCGCTTTTAAATTGATCCACTTTAAATGGAAAGAGTGTGGGTGCATTCTTTAATAACACAGTTGGTCTTGCGTAGTCCAACATCTCCCACCCCTCCAAACCCTGTCACCCAGCACACACACAAACAAATACTTTTACCATTGCAACGGTAAGAGAGAGAGAGAGAGACCGGACCTGTGGTTTGTACTTGACCATGAGCAGAGCACAGAGACTGTGCCACCCTGCGCACCATCCACCAAGCACCACCAGAGCCTGAACGTTGCGGACATTAGAGGAGAACAGACTAACATTTCAAACAGCATTGGTATCTGATAACTGTCTTTATCACACAGCGGAGATGATGCATGGATTGTAAGCGTTGGATGGTAGTGATAACCGCTCACCCTAGACAGAGAAATGTCTTCAAAACAAGTTGAGAACACTGGTGTCATAGCAGAGAGACGAAAAGTCTGATATAAGCTTAATTTCGCCAGAAATTATATCATTATGACTACTCCTGGACCCCGACTGAATAATGAAAGTGAGCCAATATGTTTTTTTTTGTTTTTTTTTTCCTTCTTCTTCAAAAGAGCTATGTGATGTGTCACATGTAGCTGTCTCTTTGCAGTTTCCAAACTGTCCAGAATGATTTGTTCTGCAATGTCGTCATGGTTTAAAAAGAAAAAAAATGTCAGGAAGTTTTTTTTTTAATGCTTTTGCCATGCCTTGTGACTTGAGAAAGAAGGCAGCTTTAACTAATTTTCTCAGAGATATACGTTTGTGTTTAATGTTTGTATTTGTTTCTGTAATCCCTCTTTTTTTTAATTATACTGTCCTGACAAAAATCTGAACTCTGTAAATTGTCTTTCTATTACACACAAAGACAAAACTAACCAAACTTAAAAAATGGTCTGCACCATTGTTGCACTTTTTCCTTTTCTTTTTCTTTCTTTTTTTTTGTTGCTTTGTAGCATTTGACAACAAAAAGCATACTACCTGCTGTGTAACTTATTCATCCTCCAGCCTTGGAGTATACTAAAATGTGCTTTAACTTTTCCTACTACTCACAGAAATTTGCCCCGATTTTTTTTCTCCCTTGTAGCTGGTACAGGAATCTTTTTGTTTAGTGTCACACTTGCATCACAATTGCAGTTTGAACTGTATGGTACCATTACATGTTTAGGCATTTGATGTCATGAAGATTCAAATCCATGACCACTTAATCTCTGCTTTCATTGTGTCACACAACAGGCATAAAGCTTTGAATATGAATTATACTAGGTCAACTATAATACACAGCAGTAAACTTTGTTTTAGATATGTGGAAAAAAATATTTTGGCTTTTTCAGCTTTCACTCTGCTCAGTTAACAAACCCATTCTGCTCTAAACTTGATATTTCCTTTGTTGTTGCTTTTTCTTTCATTTTTTTGATTTAAAATTGTCGTAGCACATGTTCAGATTTTTATTTTCTGTCATTTTTTTTTTCTTCAACATCTTTGCTAATTCATCCCGTTTAGATGGGGTGTTATGTGTTTACAAATGCAATGACAAAAAGAAAAAAAAAGTTTACAAACTTGAATCTTAAAGAAATCCGACATGAAGCCGAAAAAATATTGGAGCATCTTTTCAGCTCTCTATCAAACACACAGTGGTGTTTTGGGGTTTTTTTGCTCTTTGTTTGTTTTTTTTGTTTTTTTTTGGAATTGAGACTTGAAAACCCGTGTAACCTATGATGTTGAAATGCAATGTTTGTATCGCACAATGTCTCTCAGTAGGCTATTACAAGAGTTCAGACCAATCAAATAAAGTGGATCAGTTCACCACTGAAAAATGTGCCGATCCTTGAGACGTGTGCAGTTTTTTGTTTGTTTGGTTTTTTTCCCTTCTCTCTGGTTGTGCACTGGCAATTACACGCACTCTTTGACGCATATTGCAATGATTTATTTGTCAGGTAATCCAGTATGAAATGGAAATTAATGCCAGTGATCCCTTGTAGGTAAAAGTTGGGCAAATGCAACAAATATATCAGCTATTAAGGATTCCCAGACTTAAATTGAAGGTGAGGAGGCAAAAATGTTAATTGAATTCCTACAAATTGAAAAATGAAATGTGTAATTAAAGCCGACGCCAACACACCTGAGACTTTGGTAGTGCAGTTAAAAGAATGTTGTTCAATTACTGCTGCCTAATAATTCTGCAGCATTCTCTTATCAGCTCTTGTCAGTTTGACCTTTTAATCTACACATCTTAACATGGACTGTAGAAAAAGTTATGTATTGGCTGACTGCTTCTGTGTATTATTGCACTCAGTAAAGTTGATGGCCTTAAAGGAGGTCCCTGTGGTGACAGTTATAGACCCAGTGTGTTTGAAACCTTTAGCTGAGATGCCACAGTGGAAGTGTATAACAGGTCATTCTTGCAGTAGGGCTTCTTTTTATTCATGTGTGATTCACACACTGATTATTTGACCTGTCTTACCAGAAAAAGTGTAGGTTGTCTAATGAGATTTGTTTACAGATTTTTTGCAACCCATTGTGACAGAGCACGTTAAACACTAGGGTAGGCACAATAAATCTCTGTGTGTGTGTTTCACTATGTCTGGTGTGAAATGGGTCTGTTTGACTACTTACTGCTTATGCCAGAGCTAAATGTCTTCTATCGAAAAAAGCTTTGCCGAACTTATATCGTCTGCCAATAGCACACTGTTTTCTTATTGAATATCTAAATGACTTGAGCGTTTTAACCCATACGAAGAAAGGAAGTGGAAAGGGGTTTCAAGTTTCCTGTACGCGGACGCGTTCCTTTAATCGTGGCTCAAGAGTTGGGAGTTCGCCTTGTAATCGGAAGGTTGCTGGTTCGAGCCCCAGCTTGGACAGTCTCGGTCGTTGTGTCCTTGGGCAAGACACTTCACCCGTTGCCTACTGGTGGTGGTCAGAGGGCCCGGTGGCGCCAGTGTCCGGCAGCCTCGCCTCTGTCAGTGCGCCCCAGGGTGGCTGTGGCTACAATGTAGCTGCCATCACCAGTGTGTGAATGTGTGCGTGAATGGGTGGATGACTGGATATGTAAAGCGCTTTGGGGTCCTTAGGGACTAGTAAAGCGCTATATAAATACAGGCCATTTACCATTTAATACGCCGAGTTTAAAAAAATCTATTCAAAAAGAAAGAAAATGACATCGCAGATATTCATATAACGAACTCAAAAGCAGCCTTTTCTTCCAAATAATCTCCTCGAAACAGAAAAATGTGATCTACGTAGGAGTTTATTTTGGAGGAAAGCAAAACCACAGCAGGGTAACACGGGAAGTTGTAATATTTTCGTGGATCCTTATTGGCTGGAGCAGTCAAAGACATCCTGTAATAAGTGGTGCGAAAATGCGCTCGTTTTTACCTGCAGTGGCCGAACAACTTTTCCAAGACATACAGAAAACATACCAGGAGGCTTCTCAAAGTAAGATGAATATGACGAAGACAAAAGTCTGGACATGTTTCGGTTTAATTTAAACGTAGATTTAGCATTGCTAGCTAACTGTTGGTTAAAGCAGAATGTGACACGACTTTCATTCAAGGCGCACTCCACATATAATTTCCTCCTTTTCTGTGAGGACTAGTTAACTTCCAGTAACTGAAACGCAGCTGGCAGCGAGCTTTACTTTACCGTGCTTCACAGCAATGTCAATGTAGTAGTCGTTGTGAAACCTCATAATTATGGCCCTGCTACTTAAAGTGATGCACTTTTACATTTTGGCAGTAGGAGGCGCTGTTATCACACACATAACTTTAGCCCCAAGCTTCCCTCCATAGATAAATTGCTACAGGTTTAAAGTTACATGAAGCTTTTTGACATGCCATAGTTTGATAAAGGCAGCTGCGTTGCAATACACACTTTATTCCTACCACAAAATGGACCTTCAGCCAAAAACCCCAAGCATCTATGGAATTATGGTCTGTTTGTCTGCGTATTTGACAGAAATCGGTCTTTCTTACCATTTCTAACTAAACAAAACATGTATATTAGACTGTGAGAAATTTACGTAATATTGGTTTTTGTTAGCCCACGATGCTGTATAGAAATTATAATATATACAGCATATATATGTTATCATATATGCTGTAAATGAACAATATGTGAACCGTATCAACGTTTTGTGTATATTGTTCACATGGTCTAAGGAGCTTGGAAAGAAACGTGTCTAGACTTCTTTAATTTTCTTGAAGACGGTTCACCTCTCATCAGAGAAGCTTCTTCAGTTCTAGGGTCAAATGGTGGAGTACCAGATTTAAGCCATGTAGGAGTATCCCCCCACGAGGGACAATGGACCCCCTAATGATCCTCTACCTAATCACATGAGCCAAGGTGTGAAAATGGGTGTAGGTCACAATCAGCCAAGGTTTCGGGTGAGCTCATTGTGAAACCTGGCCCCACCCTATCATGTGATTTCCTGAGGTCAGATGGCCCAGGATGTGAGTGGGCATTAAGGCGTCTGGGAAGGGATCTCAAAACTGGATTATAGATGGCAGACAGTTGGTGTCGTAAACCACCACCTCTGTTCAAAGATGGTCGCTCACAGTGGAAATAAATGGCTTCTTTTACTCCTCTTTCACAACATCTGTTTTCTCTGTCCAAAATGTGAACATTTGCATCCTCGATGTCCTTTAGATGCAGATGGACCGCCAAGTCTTGTCCCGTGGAGGTGGCTCCTCTGTGCCATGCGTTTATGAAGTGGCTGTTTGGTCTCTCCAATGCCGCGGTCTGGACATTCCTCGCTGCACTGTACAGCATACACTACATTATTAAGTTTGTGTTTAGGATTTTTGTCTTTGGGATGAACCAGTTTCTGTCTAAGTGTGTTGCTGGGTCTGAAGTAAACTGAGATGTCGGGCTTGGAGAAGAGCCTCCTGAGTTTTTCCCGATACACCAGCTTCATAGGGGATGACAATGTTATTGCGTTTGTCTTTCTTATCCTCCCTCGCTGGTGTCTGATCTTCTTTCCTGTGCATCTTTGCTGACTTGATGAAAGCCCAATTAGGATAACCGCATGTTTTGAGAGCTTCCTTTACATGTGTGTGTTCCTTCTTTATCCCTCCAGGCTTAGAGGGAACATTATCTGCCCGATAATGTAGGGTCCTGATTACTCCAAGTTTGTGTTCCAGAGGGTGGTGGGAGTCAAAGAGGAGGTACTGGTCCATGTGTGTGGGCTTCTGGTAAACTTCAGTGTTGAGGTTTCCATTCTCTTCAATGCGCATGGCACAGTCCAGGAAAGGCAAACGGTTATCCTTTGTGTCTTCCCTGGGAAACTTGGTATTTTTATCCACAGCGTTAATGTGCGCAGTGAAGGATTCCACTTCTTGATTTTGACCCAGGTGTCGTCTACATATCTGTACCAGTGGCTGGGTACTCTTCCTTTGAAAGAGCCAAGAGCCTTCCTTTCCACTTCCTCCATGTAAATGTTGGCTACAATAGGTGACACCAGGGAGCCCATGGCACAGCCATGTTTTTGTCTGAAACCCTTGTTGTATTTGAAATATGTGGTGGCCTCCATAAACTATATTACATTATTTAGTAACTATGGGTTGTACTTTAGCCAAATAAATGGCCAAACTGAACCATGAACTCCTATTTTAAGCATTGGTGTGTTTATTTTTTATTAAAGGCATGCCCATGCAAGTTAGAAGGTTGACACAAAGCCCATCTGAGGCAGTGCCTTGCCCAAGGCCATCTCAACAGTTGTTTCATTTTACCTGCATTAAGGTTCATTACATTTGAACAGATAGCCACATGGGCAACAGCTTGCCTCCATGCTCATCTTTCTATTCCAGGAGAAAACATAACACAGATAATGCTGTGCAAAAAATTACAACCCTTGATTTGATAGCTTGGAAAAACATCTTTAGCAGGAATGACTTGAAGTAATAATTTTCTCTATGACACTATTAGTCTCTCACATTGATGTGGACGAATATTTTTGTACTTTTTGTCACAACAGTGCTTCACTTTATTGTGGTTTGCATACATTTCTTTAAGTACAGCTCTAGTAGTCTCACTTCTTATTTCAATCAGGTTGATTTTTGGGGGGCTCTGATGGGTCAGCACATTGATTCTTTTCTTGTTCAGTCTTTCTTTTGGGTGATTGTTGTGTTATATCATGCAGTTTGGGCCAAACTTTAGCTGTCTGACAAATGGTCGCACATTTGACTCTAGAACACTTTGGTATAAAGAGGAGTATGGCTGCCACGATTAGTCAACTAGTCACGATTACGTCGACTATCAAAATCGTCGACAACTAATTTAATAGTCGACGCGTCGTTTGAAGCTTTGTAAGATCCCAGAGACGCAGGAATAAGTAGCAGGATTTAAGAGTGTAATAATGGACTGCAACAGAAGATAGCAGCACTGCATGTACAAGGATGCCAGCTGCCGTTAAACCCAGAAGAAGAAGAAGCAGTGTCCGGTATCGTAGCTGTGTCCAAATTCAGGAACCGCATCCTCCTGTGCCCGCATTTGTAGGCCAATTACGTTACAGCGACATGACGAAGACTGTCTAAATTAGAAGACTCTGACAAATGCGGCCGACAAATGTGCCCTTCATTTCCCCAGATTTGAAGGATGGGTCGGTTGTATACTTCGTGGCCCGACCTTTTCGGAGATGTCTGTTACCCACCAGCTCGATAGCTACAATCTGACTGCTTTGTTTCGCTTAATGTGCCTTATAATCCCGTGCACCTTATGGTCCGAAAAATACGTATTTGACTTTTTTATTTGGCACACTGCAGTTTAATGTTGCAAAGCACCTCTTTTTAACTTCAGTGGATATTATACATGGTTATGCTCAGGATATGTCAGCCCATTTCTACTGGAAATGCCTTTTGGTTAAACTTTCAGCAAGGAATTTGCATTTGCACTGTTAAATTTTTATATAGCTTTAATGCACATAAAAAACAGCTGCTTGTTTAAGTGAAAATAAATGGATGGGGTTTTTTGCGCTAGTAAAGTTGTGGAGTTGTATTTTGTCTCGCATCAATTATTGTCAGTTATATCACCGTATTTCCCGGACTACAAAGCGCACCTGAATATTAGCCGCACAAGCTAAAATCAGGGGAAAATCCTGTTTTGTACATACATTAGCCGCACCTGACTAAAAGCCGCAGGTGTTTCAATGTTGACTTATCATATGTAAGAGAATATGCACAAAGGGAATTGTCAGGAAAGAGATGGCTGTTTGGAGACACACCCTTTTATTAATATTTTGAAAAACAAGTTATGGGTACATATTTGCACAACTTTTTAGGTATATGTACAAGTACGAAACATGTACTGTGCTTCATAAATGAGTAACAAATGTAGTACATAACAATAACCTACAGCACACCAGAAAAATAGATTCGGACTACCTTTTAGGCTCAGGTGCAGTGACACGGCTTTAACAAGAAGAAAAGTCAGTCATTCACCACCATCTTCCTGCGCACTAAAACCACCAAAGTCCTCTTCTCCAGTGTCGGATAACGAACAGGCTCAGGATGGCTTCGTCATCCACTCTCAGCTTCTTTCCTTCGTTGTCACTTTCAAAACCAAAGAAATCCTCGTTGTCAGTGTCAGAGTCGAACACCCTCTGAAGGGCCGTGGCGGTGTCCTCCTCTTCATCATGCAGCAGTCCAGCCCTTCGAAATCCGTTGGTGATCGTGGATGTTTTCACACTTTTCCACGCTGTCAGATTCCACCGGTGGAGTTGAGCATAACTTGCTTTTCGCAAGTTTATTCGCCGCTTGGTCATCCACGCACTCCCGCTGAACGGTAGCGCTACTTTGAAGTTTGTTTTTCGCGCTACTTGTACGGCACTATGTTGCCTGGCGGATGGACACGTGACCAACATACCACTCTTGAACCCCGATACTGTGTGTCTGATCACATGCCCTTCCACCAGGCAACGTAGTGCCGTACAACAGCGGAACAAACAAAACAAATCGTCTTACGATATACAAAAATCATGGACAATCCATAGAAAAGCCGCACCTGACTAAAAGCCGCAGGGTTCAAAGCTTGTGCAAAAAGTAGCGGCTTATAGCCTGACAATTAGGGTAGTTATCGCAAATTTTCAAATATATATCGTGATAAATATTTTTGACCATATCGCCCTGCTCTAGTGTGAGATGCTCGAGAATATACTCCGGAGTCCTGTTATATTTTAGATAGCAAGGAGCGATGTAGTTATTAAACTTCACCGAAACGATCTGCAGAATTTCATTAAAATTTAATAAACTATCATCTTGTCTTTATTTTTAGTTAGCACATACCTTAAACACTTAAAGCTGTAAGCTAATGATAGTTATATAAGAGCAGACGCATGCTGGTGCAATAAGCTGTACGTTTTACGTCCAATGGATGCACGATCTGATTAGTCGACTAATCGCAAAAATAATCGGTGACTAGTCGACTATCAAAATAATCGTTTG